CGCTTCTGTCGGCGCGCTTCTGTCGGCGCGCTGTTGTCGCACGGTCTTGACGGCGCGGTTTTGTCACCACGCTTTAGTCACACGCGCTTTAGTCGACCGCGGTTTTGTGGTGGAACCCTCATTTTAGCCCAGTTGTAGAGAAAGAGATGCTGGAGGAAGGATTTCAAGGATCTGATCAAGAGGCTTAGTAATCCTAAATTTCTTTTTGAGTATTCTTTGCATTCTTAGATAGACAGGAAGCTATCCAGGTGACATTATTGTCTGATCAAATGGCTATTGCAAACTTATCTCAAAGAGATCCAATCCACATGGAACTGATCCAGATTTGGAAATCACATTTCGAGAACATTGCTTTTTTACCAATGTGGTGAAATTTTCACAGATAACCCTTCTAAGCAGATACAGATATAGCAAAGCAATTCTGTTACTTTTACTGGCATTTGAAAAAGACTCATTAATTATTCACAATTCTTCCTTCAATCGAGGTTAGACTTATGATTTTTCTGCAATGTTTTCAGAATTGATTCATACAAGCTAACATAAGATCCATCTCTTAGACACTGCCTCTAGCCTTAACCAACTTCTTTGTGAGAGATTTCCAATGTAAATTCCACACTGAAGAAACTAGTCATTCCTGTTGCTGAGTAAAGGAATAGAATTAATTTCAATAATTGATACCAACTTAAATATGAAGCATTAAGCTAAAACAAATCAGTAAAACTCAGCTCTTGATTTACTAAAAGGCTTCCATTTGATTAAATTTTGTGCTTATAGACTCTCTTTACAGGGACCATTAAAATGAAGCAATAAATCAAAGAGGAAAAAATTATCTACTAGACAATAATAATTGTGTTCAGGCAGCTGAATTCTGTAATATATGTAGGGGAAGCTCAGGGTCAGATTATGATATAAGAGCAACTAATGAAGGAATTTGGCTAAAGACAGTAATTTGGTCTTTGCTGAACTTTAAAGGGGTTCTTTGCTTTGATGCTGATTGAACTGAAACAGGACTTTGATCCTGCTTTGTGAAGAAATACCTCACCCACCCTCTTCTAAAGAGAAAAATCTTCACTGCTTAACTTCATATTGCTCCAACTGTGCTCTTCAAAACTTTCTGAGACCTGAATAGGCCCCTGAAGTCATTGAAAGGACCAAGGAGGGACTTCCAGGGTGACGTCACGTTGGTACAGTTACAGGAGAATGAGACTCCGTTCTCCCTGTCTGAATTTTCATGTCTGGAGGCTGGCAGTGGCAAAGCTGGGCGTTGGAGGGGACAGCATAGAGAGGGGAAAATCCAGGGATGATGGGGAGAAGAGCGATCTCCCATTGTGAAGGATGGAATCCCTGAAATCATCATGGAAGAGACCAGCTGTCATGGCTTGGTCTGGAGGCATGACAGCCTGATTGATGATGGAGGAAGCAAAAAGGACTTTGATCCTGCTTCGTGAAGAAATATCTCACCCATCCTTTTCTAAAGAGAAAAATATGCACTGCTTAACTTCATATTGCTCCAACTATGTCCCTCAGAACTTTTTGAGACTTAAATAGGCTTCTGAAGACAATAAAAGGACCGAGGAGGCTCCCAAACTGACACAATGTGCTTTAAATAGGTGAAACTCATAAC